TGGTCAAGCTGTAACGAGAGAAGATGCTGACGCTCCTCTCCATAATGTTTGCGCGTTAAATGACCAGAAGCACTTCTTAAATCATCAAAACAAAACCGAAGCACCATCTTTTTGCATTGTTTGAAAAACCCAACCCATGCCGGCAGAAGAATGCCTGAAAGGGTGGAAAAAAGCTTTGAAATACCAAAAAGTGCGAAGAAGAAAGATTTACTGAAACTTTCCAAATCAGGTGCTATACCTGATGAATTTCACCATTATTATCACAATCTACCTTTATCCAATAATGGTAAAGATGCTTCCTGAACCTTCTACAGAAGCTAGTGACACATACATTGAATATTATGACCTGCACATGGATTCGTGTGTGCGAACTCGATACGATATGTATCGAATAGAGAAAGATATTACATAAGAATTACAGTCTGTCGAACGAAGATAGGCGTCTCAATACGTGCCATATCGAAAGATGAGAATCCCACTACTGTAAGTAGACAGCTAAAATAAGCAAAGTGACATTTTTTATCTTTTTTTTTTGCTTACCAATAGATATATTCTTATTTATATTTTGTAAAGACTAATTACGTTTTAAATTCCTTTTTTTTTTTTTCATTGGAAATATTGTTTATTAAACAGTTTGAAGCTTTTATTCCATTTTAAACTTTTGAAAAGCGATTTCTTGAAACTCTAAAAATGTGAGTTGTTTTGTTTTTGCAATAAGATATATTTATGTTTTGTGTTTTATTTATTAGAGGTTCTCACTAACTAATTTTAAATGGATGGCTTAAATAAAGGGTCATAATCCAAAAATATTGCGGCCCGTGTAACATAGCAAACATACGTGACTATGGCTGGTTTTGAAAATTTATGCATTCTTTAGAAAAAAAGATAAAATTGTGTGTTCATGAAAACGGAGAACATTTTGAGTACATACTGTAACTGATTGAATATTATTTCATGTTTTTAGTCAATTTCGAGATTTCACCAGATTTTTCCATACAAGCCCATCGAATGTATGAAAATTTAGGGTAAGGTGGGGCAGGTTTGGACATGGGGCACCTCCGAACAAGTCAAATTTACCGCCTTATAGTGCTATGATACTTGCTATATTGACAGTACAATATCCTTCAACACTAGTATTTCTATGGTATATAAATCTTGAGCGACTTCGATTACTCAGGAACTATTTATTTGAGAAAATTCATAAACAGAGTTGTTCTTATAAATTTCTATAGAGCTATCGTAATCTTTCTCGGCTCAAAAATCCCAATGAGGTAAGTTTTATCCTATTTACCGTAGATTATTTATTTATTTATTTATTTATTTATTTATTTATTTATTTATTTATTTATTTATTTATTTATTTATTTATTTATTTATTTATTTATTTATTTATTTATTTATTTATTTATTTATTTATTTATTTATTTATTTATTTATTTATTTATTTATTTATTTATTTATTTATTTATTTATTTATTTATTTATTTATTTATTTATTTATTTATTTATTTATTTATTTATTTATTTATTTATTTATTTATTTATTTATTTTTGGAACATGGGGTACGTTCGGACAAATCGAGTGGGGCAGCTTCGGACTGTCCGAATGTGCCCCATTTAACAAATATAAATATACTGTAACAAGAAAACTAAAAAAAAAAAACCATATTCATTGATTTTAACTACATTAAAAAGAGAAATAGCCCTGATATTCCGAATGACGATTTAAAAAAGCCGTTAAAGCCGTGCTCAGTCGATTCGCATGGCTGCAAGCACTTTTAATATGCCAAAGTCAACTCTTTTTGACTAACTTGTAAAACCAAACCAAAAGAAAAATTTGACTGACTCGAGAAATGAAAGCAGTAGTTCAGATGAGAATGAATCTTCTTTATCAAAGTACGCTACCCGTCAAATATTTTCTCCAGGAGATGAAAAGCAGTTGGAAATGTACCTAAAACAATCTTCAAGAATATTTTATGGGCTGACTTACAGGTCTACGCGGCAGTTGGCATATGAATATGCAAGTAAGTTGGGCAAGAAAATTCCAGATACTTGGAAGGAAAATAATATGGCTGGGATGGAGTGGATGCGAACATTCATGAGCCGTCGCCCGAGACTTTCCTACCGCAAGCCATACCAGCATTGCACGAGCAGCAGCTTTCAACAAAGCCAATATTGCTTCGTTTTTTAAGAATTATGCAGAAGTTCAAGAAAAATATAATTTTCCTCCTAATCTCATTTGGAATACCGACGAAACTGGAGTCACAACCGTTCTTCAGGCTCCTAAAGTTAATGCCGAAACAGTGACAAAAGAAGTGGGCCAGTTCGTTTCAGCTGAAAGAGGCGTATTAGTTACAATGTGTTGCTTCATTTCTGTTGTGGGAAATACAATTCCTCCAGCATTTGTATTCCCTTGTGTACGTATGAAATAGCAGTTTATGTATGGTTCAGTTCCTGGAGCAATAGGCTTTGCTGAGAAATCAAGGTGGATGTCTTCAAAAATTTTTCTCCAGTTATTGGAGCATATTCAAAAACATACTAGTTGTATTCAAGCAAATCCAATTCTTTTGTTATTCGATAACCACGAAACAAACACATCACTCGGGGCCATAGACTATTCTCATTTCCACCCCATGCACCCACAAGATGCAACCCCTTGACAGGGGCATTTACGGGATATTTAAGAACAGATGTAAGACTGCCTTTAACGACTTTATCATTTCAAATCCTGGAAAATCAATTGGAATTTATGACATCGCTGAACTCACTGCAGATCCTTATTTGCAAAGTTTTACAGCTAAAAACATTATAAGCAGCTACTTCAGTACTGGCTTGTGGCCTATCAATTCCATGATTTTTAATAATGACTATTTCAGGGGGTCGTTCGCCGCAGATCGGACAGATTCTGAAATAACAATGAAAGAGTGTGAACTGCCATCAACTTCTATTACATCGAACAACTCTTTTACTCTGTCCATCAGCAAAAGTACTAGCAATGTGGCAGATTCTGAAATTGACGAAGTGACCATGAAGATAAGAACTATGTTGAATGACATATTAAATCGCGTTACAACATTAGACCATTACCAAAGGCAGCCCTCAGAAAAACAAATGGAAAGTCTGGACTTGGTAAATCCAGAATTTATACAAGCATACCGGAGAAGGTAAGAATTCAAGAATTGGAAACAATGAGAAAACAATAGTTGGAGAAAAAAAATCAGGAAAAAAAGTATTACAAAGCGAATGTGAAGTGAAGAAAAAAAATAAAAAGTGACTCCTCAGATTCTGATGTGGATGTACCACAGAATTTTGTTCATGAGATACATTTTTTTTTGACGATCGGTCCGATTCTCTGGACGAGTTTCAAGACAATGACGATGTGTTTATGCTATTGGATGATGACGTAATCCATCGTAATGATTATTTGCTTGTTAAATACCCGACCAAAAAAAGGACACTTCATTACATCGGCAGAGTGGAATCTTGCAATGATGATAAATCTTTCGTCTTAAATTTTTTGGGAAAGTATAAAAGTGGTTTCCGCTTTCCGGACAAGATATTTCGACTGTTTACAGAAAAGATATAGTTTTGAAAATACAATTTGCAATAATGTCTGTTTCTTTTTCGTGACTGCTAATCCCGAGGCAGCACCAGGAACTTTCAAGATGTGTTCGCTCTTCTAATTTAATATCAATTTTGATGGTTATAACGTTCAATAAACTTTTTCTAATATACCGTCTTTTATTTCTCTTAAAAATCTTTTTCGGAAAAATGTAAATGAACGGAAATCAATTTTTTTGCTTAAGATAATGCCAAAATATTGGAAATACACTAAGGTATCCGTAGCACCTGAATGAGGTCCAAAATTTTCTCTTAATTTTGAAATATTAATGTTTGAAAAAACGTGTCCGAACCTGCCCCATCTTACCCTACATCGTCACTAGTTCAAAAAATATATTTTTCTTCAATGACCTGAATGTATAAGTGCAAATCGAATTTTCCATGTGTTATCCCCAAGAGCCACTGGTAAATTCTCTTTTATTCTATTCAATACAGATGTACTTTTCAATCCTCTTCGAGGCTTGTATGCGAAAATGGGGCACCTAAATCGGTCACTATCTGACGGTCTATAAGGTTATCGTCTCGGTAGACCAATGTGTTAAGTGATCGTGCGTTCAATTACTGGTCTGTAGTGGCAAACGTCACACTGGTTCGGATCCCAGGACTAACCTTGTCAATTTTTAATTAACTTGCATGTTTCGTTGTAAGATTTGATGGGTGGCTCGTACAATCCCAGTGTTTTACCCTTTCGATGATGGTGGGTGGAGGTTTTGTTACCTGTATTTTAAAAAATGGTGCATATAATAATATAAATAATAATAATATAGGGGGTGGGTTGGTTCAGTGAATAGAGTTATGACTTTGAGTTCGAAGAGCATCGGGTTCGAATCGCGCTGGTGACAGGATTTTTGTTTAAATTAACTAATCACATATTAATTCTAAAGCATAGGTAGGGGGGCGTCCATTAATTACGTGAGATATTTTTGAGGATTTTTGACTCCCCCCTCCCCCCTGTGAGATTTCGTAAGATTTTCCTCAACTCCCTCCCCCCTCACCTAATCTCACGAGAGATTTTTCAAAATTTGTTTTGGGTGTAAATGCGTTGATTTATAAAAAAAAAATAAAACAATATGTTCTATTACTTCTAGTTAAAGACTAGCAAAGACTAGTATTTGAGAATATTGCCGTAATATAAAATTTCTAGAAACATTCTTTACTTTAATTTAACTTTACGTTCATGCAATTTTACATCGTTTTCTACTAGATAAAAATTATTTGGAAAGATTTAGCTTGATCCCCTCCCCCCCTTGAACACCTCACGTAATTAATGGACGCCCCTAGGATTTCCCCCTCGACCATTTACTGTTGGGTATTAATTAACAGGTCTGTTCCTAACGCGATGCTAGGAAACAGTGACAAAGCCTACACAGAACACGCGGCTGATAACCAAAGCACTGAGTTATTCACAAAAATATTAGGCCATGACTGACAAAGACATTAAAAAAGAATAATAATAGGAAATATATATATTTCCCAAAAATTTTAAAATCATCCTCGTACACAGCTCTTTTGCGTATTCCAAAATAATTCTAAATGTTTGTCAATATCCTTTTTTATCACTCGCATGCTTTATACCGAGTGATGAATATAAAGGTAATTAATAATTAGCAAGGTGTTTTTGCCCGCAGGCACTTGTGAATCAGAAGGTCAAGGAGTAATATATTTAGAAAGACAGACAATTGCTCCAAAAATAATTTCGCTTTAAGGTGGTTTTCCTTATTCAATTCCCTCGCGATGGTCCTCCAAACCCGTCACTGGTCCACCCAGTAAGAATTTGTCTCCCCTATCAAAATCGTAGCCAGATTGAAGATAAGGAAGGCAGCTTCATTTGTGGTAATTGTAAAGTTTTACTTCAGTGTATGGGTTACCGGCGTCAAGGTTAGTTTCAAAATATTAAGCCGAAAAAATTCAAAAACCACGCGATTTTTTTTTGTACGTGTGAACTGGGTAAACAGTAAAAAAATTATTTTTCTGTTAGTGATACAGTGATAGTAGTGATAGCAGTGGTGTTGATCTGACCTTATATTAAAGGTTTGTTTTTTGTGTTTAAATTATTATAATAAATGATAATTTAATAGTTAACTTCCTGAAAAAAGGTAAATATTTTTTTTATCCAGCTTTAAATGAATCGATCAATGTCGGCCTAAATTTAATATTTTTATATATTTAACAATTTGACTTGTTTCATTCAAGCAAGAATTTTATTCCTCTTTTTTCACTAAGAATTGTATTATTTTTCAATAAATTATGATCATTTAATATTTCAAGAATCTAGAATTTAAATTAAATTACATTTATACTTATATTACCGATGAAAGGTGCCTTCAAGTTTGAAAAATATTGTCCAGCAACTATAATTTTTTATTAAAACTTTTCTTTTCTTCAATTTAAGTTTACGTATTAATTAAAATTAAAAATTTTAAGGTTTCATAGATTTTCAAATGTAAAATGTCAAAAAAAAAATGAATAATATAGTTTGTCTACGACTCTTTATAATGCACCCATTTTTAATGAGCTTTTTTACTTCAAATGATTAAAAAAACATGCCTTAAATGATACGGTTGATAGAACTTTGAAACATAAGTAGTGTTTGCCCAGGACCCTTTATATTTTTGTATTACAGATGTGGTTAAAGTTATAAATTAAAATAAGATTATTTCACATAACTTCGAAATTAAAATATACAGGGTGTCCCATTAGTGCGTAATTGCTTGATAAATCAATTTGTGTTACAGATACACAAACAAGTTTCAAAAAATAATTATATGGCTTTTAAAAAGGCACATTTTAAAAATATTTTTGGATATACAAGATGTTACGCTTTTGACTGACAAATAAAATGGTATAGTTTTTAAATGGAACACCCTGTATTTTATTTCAGTTTTATAATGGTCTAGTAATACGGTATTCAATGCTAAAATATTTTTAAAAAATGTTACAGGGTTGTCAAGAAATTAATTATTATATGAAATTTCAGAATGCTGCAGAACTCAAATTAAATGATCATGATTTAGATAGGTAAAATTGTTTAAAACACAGTCTTATGTGATACACACCTAACTAATAGTGATGATAGAACTGGCTTATTTTATACAGAGTGTCTTGAAACATATCTTAATTATGGCTAATTTTAAGTTTAATTTATTAAATTTTTCAAATGGAATACTTGGATATTATTTTAACATAAAATTCCTTATACATTTACCTATCCAACGATAGCAACAGGTATAGTAAATTATACATATACAGGGTGTCTCATCAATGCGCATATGCTTGATAACTGTTTTATTATTGGAAATATGAAGAAATTTTGAATACAAAGTGTAGGACGATATTTTACAATTATTCTTAAATATACATGGTAGTCCATAAATGAGGGGCGATCCAAACTTATACTTGTTTACACTGAACAATCTAACTAACAGATTTGGTTGTTTTCATATCGTTAAATAATTTTAATAGATAAAATTCCTAACATGTTTTCTATTTTCTTTTATTTGTTATTATTTATAATGCGAGATTACTATGTTTTCACTTTGTTCAAATACCATACCACCAATTTATAAATAAATTTCTTTATTTTATATTTTATTTGGCATTGCCTATACTCAAACGCATTTTTTCTCAAGATTCTGATGGTTTTATTAAAAAAAATTAACATTTTTCTTATTATAATTGAAGACATGAATGGATGAAGGGCCCATCTACTTGAATGTTGTTTATGAGAAAAACCAGTTCAAAGTTTTTTGTGCTTAGTTTAACATAGAAGGGCTACTATAAAACAACATTTTTCCTATAAATATGTATTTATTAAAAACATAATAATTTGAAATATAAATTCTAACCTAAAAAATGTTTAGTTGTTTTACAAAAAAGTAAATAATGTACATACGCTTTTATTCACTAATTCGTTTAACAGAATAAGGTTCCCATAGGTTTATAAGTACTAATACAGACTGAAAAAACAAGTAAAACTATTAATGTGTGCCTGAATGATGCACGCCTGTTTACATCTGTTAAAACATAGAACCTGCTTTCAAAAAGAAACAAATTTGTATAACGATATCAGTTTTCAAAGGATAAGGGATCTATAAACATTTATTTGTACACATATATGCCCTTTATCCAATGAACAATCTGTAATTTTTAGTGCCTAATAAAACCATTCTAAGTTACATAGATCCTTTATCCATAAATTGTTGTCTAATTTTTTTATATATTGACCCTTTATCTTCTGAATACTCTTTTAATTATTATCAGATTCTGCCGAAACATTGTAGAAAATTATTTACTATTTTTTAAACCTATAGCACACAAAAAGTTATTTTTTTTTTAAATACGATCTAGGCCCTTTACCCATTCATGTCTTCATTAGGGTTGTGTTCTTATTATCATCAATAGCTCTAGGTTACCTTGGGGCACAAAGGACCGCTGTGTTACTTGTATGTAAAAAAAACTAATTCCGAATTTAATGATGATAAAAAACAGGTTTTATTGATAAACGAACCACAAAACACAATAATAATGGTTTATATTAAAAAACAAAAACATTAATGCTCATTTTTGACAAAAATAAACGATAGGTTCTTATCTTAATCACACTTTGCGCATAGGAACTGATCGTCATCTTCTGATGCACCTGCACACATTTGGTGGGCCCAATTTCGGCACAACTGGCATTGAATCCAATCATCTCCTGATGGATCCTTGGCAGTCCACGGACCTGGCGTTGGTTCAGAAGTGTCAATTTTTTGTGATGTTGGTGGATCTTTGGTAGTCGATGGACTCGGTACTGGTTCAGAAGTGTCCATTTTTCGTGAGGTTGAGGGTACTGGTAATATTAGTCCTGATTGAACAGTTTCGTCCTCTGGGACCAACTCTGGGTTATTATCGAGGATGTGACAATGCTGAAGCAGTGGTTCTGCATTAAGTTGATCATTCTCTCTATTATCAAGATCTGCTGTCACTTGTGGATTCTCAGTGACCGACGAAGGAAGGAAGTCAGTATCCGAAAATACATCAGGATTTAGCGGACAAATACCAGATCGGGCCCCGCGACAATTTTATAAAAAATAAAAAACAAGCAAAAATTTCTTTCTCCTCTCCTACTTGAATTTCTCTAAAAAAAAAGGTCTTCAATCAAGAACTTTCCCCCTCTTGCCCTCTTGTATCGAACTTCTGAAAGTCACAAAAAAATCCTCACCACCACTGCCGGGCCCCGGGAATTAGTCCCGGCTGCCCCCCCTCCCCTCTAGTCGGCCCTGATTAACAATGTCTTCGAATTTTCAATAATAAAACGGCTATCGATCAATTACGCAATGATGGGACACCCTGTGTATGTATAATTGGCTAACCTGTTGTTATAGTTGGATAGGTAAATGTATTAGGAATTATATGCTAAAATAATATGCAGAGTGTTGTATTTGAAAAAAAAAATGAGTAAATTGAACTTAAAATTAGCCATATTTGACATGTTCTAAGACACTCTGTATAAAATAAACCAGTTCTACCACCACTACTTGTTAGCTTGGTATCTAAAAAGTCTGTATCTTGAACAATTTTGAAATCATTGCTAATCTATCTAAATTATGATAATTTAATTTGGGATCTACATCATTCTCTAATTTCACAAAAAAATTAATTGCTTGGCTACCCTGTAATATTTTTTAAAAAATTTCAAACCATTCTAAAATTGAAATAAAATACAGGTTGTTCTATTAAAAAATATAATTTTTATTTGCCAGGAAAAAACGTAACACCCTGTATATTTAAAAATATTTTTAAAATATGTCTATTTGCGTGTCTATAACACTAATTGAAATATAGAGCAATTACGCACTAATGGGACACCCTGTATTTATTTTACTAAACTTGGACGACAGTTTAATTGATAAATAAAAGACTCAACTGCTAAAAAATCGTTGACTTACTTTTGCCAGGGGCACACTGCAGTAGAATGGGACCCCTTAACTCTTCCTATTTTGTATGACATTACTTTAATTTCAATTATGGTTGTATTTTTGAATTCAGCAATGCCCTTTACGTAAATAATGTATTTTTGTCTTACTTGGGTATTTTTCGAGGTATTCCTACATAAGTTTTTCGTATTTTTACCTCTCAATTTACATTATTGCAACCGACAGTTTTATGTAATAGCAGTGAAAAATCTCTATTTACAACTTTTTATCACTGCTTTTTGAATATGTTAAATTTATTGTAACGATTTAACTTTTTTCTTATTTAATTAGTAGGCCTCGGCTGTCATTCTAAAAGTCGGGCTTCAAATTGAAACGTCAAACTTTTTACTGCAGAATATTTGAAACATTTTACTACATACGGTAATACTAAAAAGTAAAAATGAATTAACTTTGAAACCGACAAAAGTAAAAAAAGCTGTAGAAATCGATTAACTGAATTTATTGCCAGTAAAATAAAAAAAAATTGGAGAAAGGAAATGAACAATACGTTATTCAGATTCAAATAAATTTGCCCGAGCTATGTAAGAAAAAAAAATACACTACAGTGTTGTCATATCAATTAATTTATTTGTAATAGAATTTTGAATCAATAGGTAAAGTTCAACTTAAAGATATTTTTCCTAGTGTCAAGTTAATATTTCCGTACAGCGGATATCGCTGTTACCATGGTAACGCTTGTTATTGAAATTATGACATTCGGAAATATATTTTTGAGTTCCACATTAATAAAATGGTAACAGATTTGTAACAATTTTATTAACAACGGCAACATCAAGCATTCTTATATTGGATTTTATTTGTTGCACCAGTGTCACACTCGACACTGTATTCGAACTGTCATACTCGTCAAAAATATATGCAATACGTGTGCTGCAGTCAAACATTTGAAGTTACACTGAACAAATCAAATGCGATTAGTGCAGAAAACTTACACCTAGTGCAACAAATAAAATCCACTAATACACATGTTATAAAATGTACCCTTAGACCCAGAGGGCGCATCGCTTAGCTTGAAATTGTGTTCCATTGAAATTTAAAGTGACAGTAGACTTC